TTAATGCTAAAGTCACCAGCAGAGGGAAAATTCTAGCTATACTTGTTTATCACCTCCCAGTTAATCTGGGACAGTGATGGATTATATGCCCTGTTTTGAAATTGATGGAATCTAGGCTTTGAAAGGTCAGATTAGAAATTGTTTTGTCACTTCCCCTGTTTTCTCTTGTCCGTGGTCTGAGTGCAGTTTTCTTTGCTCTGTTTTAGATCCAGATGAACAGGAAGTGGTGGTGGAGGTTCCCAGAGTTGTTCAGAATCCTCCGAAAGCAGTCATGACTACCAGACCCACAGCTGTTAAAGCAACAGGTATAATTTTTGTTTTTTTTCCTTTGTCTACATCTTTTCTAGAATATCTTTCATTCAAATCAAATAGGATTTATATATTGTTTTGTTGAATGCTTCAGTGTTGCTAACTTGTATTCGCCTATAAAATGGGAATTTGGAATCTTTCTATTTGTGGGGACTTGGTATATACACTTCGGCCATTTGCAAAATTTGTTGTTGCTTTTCCTCTGTATCCAAAGTTTACTTCTGATGCTGTTTTGTAATTTATTTTCTAGCCCTCCCACTAGCTTGATATTCCTTAAGGTCACTGATAATGTCTCTTACCTGTCCTTATGGTTTTTTTTTAACATGCCACCTTGACTGGTACCTAGCAAAAGTTTGTGGACCTGAAGGTTGGTCTTACACATATTTTTAACCAGCGAGAGGTATTTGCAGCTGATTTTATAAGCAAGCCAGGGTTCAAATCACTGCTCTAGTGTGGTTTTTTTAATTTCTTTTTCTTTCAGGTTTTTATTGTAATTTGAGTGAAAGTTTACAAGTTGGTTTTGCACTCAAGAATTTGTGCACATTTTGTTTTGTGGCCTTGATAGCAACCCCCACAATGTAATCTAGTATCCACTTTTAAAGACTCAGACAGTTATTAAGCACACTGAACCTCATTCACCTGTAAAATAAATCTAATATTCCTGAGTTATTTTGAAGATTAAATTGAACAGTGTGTGAAGTTTTCTGGCACATGTTGTTGTGTTGTTATGTGCTGTCGAGTCCGACCCAACTCATAATGACCCCTCCTTGGGTTTCGAGGCGGTATTGCTACAGAAGTAAATTGCCCAACCTGCCTTCTGAGGAGTGGCTGGTGGATTTGAACCACCAGCCTTCTGGTTAGCAGTCAAGTGCCTTAGGCACTATGCTACTAGAGCTCCTTTCTGACACATAGTAATACCCAAAATACTAATTTCCTTCACTCTTTATATATCATAAAAAATGAAAATGTGTTGCTACTTAACACTCTTTAATTGTGGTAGTCCCCTCCCCCAATTTGGAATACTTTTTATACTATATTACACTTAAAATAATAAGGTTGTTCTCTCCCTCTAACATTTAAGAACTACATTCAATATGTGTTTACCAACTACATGTGTTATTTCAAGGAGCCCCAGTGATACGGTAGTTAAGTGCTCAGTTGCCAACCAAAAGGTTGGCAGTTCAAACCCACCAGCTGCTCTGTGGGAACAAGGATGTGGCAGTCTGCTCCTGGAAAGATTTACAGCCTGTGGAATGGCTCTACCTTGACAGATAGGGTTGCCATGAGTCGGAGTCAACTGAACAACATCGAGTATTTTTAGGAAGTATGTTATTTCATTTGAAGTTTCTAAGAATTATAGGAGGTGGATCAAATTTAAATATTTCTAAGAAGGTTGCCTTGATTGCTATGTCATTCAGTTCTTTGGGCCTTTGTGTCCATTGTGAACAGAAGGTTTTCATTCCATTCAGCTTCATTCTGTACTTTACGAGTGTATAACCAAACCAGGTTTATTGCCAGTGAGTCAGTTCTGGCTCACAGTGATCCCCGCTGAGTTTCCAAGGCTGTAAATCTTTACAGAAGCAGCAGTGGCTGGTAGGTTCAAACCATTGACCGTTTGGTTAGAACCAAATGCCGTAATCACTGTATGAGCAGAGCTCCTTTATACTGATGTATAAGCTTTATTACTGCATGTGAAGAAGATCCACTTTGAGTCTGGGGAAGTACTTTTGCTTGGGCAAACTGTAGAGGAGCAAGAAGAATCTAATGTGGTTTCACTTGGCCAGGTGAAGGGCATTCCTCAGGCCGTTGGTTCAGATTTCTTGAGAACGAGGCACTTTTTTGTGTGCTGGGAGTATTCTAAATATAATTGCATCCAGCTTACCTGTTACCTAAATATAATTGCATCAAGCTTACCTGTTACCTGGTTGGAACATTTTACCAAGAATATAAAATTAAGGCCAGGGACATTGATTTATATGTATGATTGGCTCTAAACTGAAAATGTGTTTTATATAAAAATGTAAGTTCCCATCCTCCCCCATGCTAAACTTTCAGTGCTGAATACTGAAGTACAGGGTTATTTGGAGTTTTTTTCCATACAGAAATATCTCCTTTGGTAGTTTTTGTCTTAGTACTACATGTTAAGAAAATGAGGAAGGTTCCAATAAGATGGTGGACTAGGCAGAAAGACTGCACAGACCCTCTTCAACAAAGAAAAGGGAAACCAATTAACACAGACACAGAAGATAATCCTGGACCCCTGAGC